ATAAAATATTACTAAGAAACTCGACGAAAGTAGGAAAAGTCACACACACCGATATAATCGAACGTTTCGACAAAAGTCTTTTTCGAGACATAAAATTCTGCACCACAAAGGCCAATGAAATCAAACACACAGGCAAATGAACCAGAAAACATCAATGGAACCGTTTGTACTGGTGGAGCACCTTATGATCTCATCAAGTCGTTCTAGAAACAAATTAAAAACACAACCACGTTCAACCTGCTGTTAGCTAGCCGAGGCTGCCAACACGGTCCGGTTATATTTGTGGTCTGGTTTATTTGCGTCACTTTCGTGGTTAAAGTTTTGTTATTAGCGCCAGTTCTCCAGCTTAATTCTTCTTCCCTTTAGGTCAGACCGCTCAAGCCTTTGTGTTCATCCTGCCCTTATGTTTATGTTTTTTTTTCTCTTTGTTCAGGTTCCTTCTATTTTAGCCAGGTGTATCTGGTAAGGGGAGTCGCCGTGGCGAGGCTGCTAGACGCTCGCCGCGGAACGGAAGGTCGTGGGTTCGCTTCCTGGCGGAGCCGGACTTTAAAAAAAATGTCTTTGGCTCCCAGGTCGACCGAGCCTTGAGTGGGTACCGGGTGCAGTCCTGGGAAGTATAGGCGGCCGGCGTGATGCTGACCACATCACCCATCTTGTGCCGATTGGTCTTTAAATACAGGCCTAGCCCTATACGCCTAAAGGCGTGGAAAAGGGTCCCTTATTTGCAGTATCTCATAGGAGAGTGAGCTTCTCAACATAACGTCCTTTTGGACCACCATTTTTAGTTTTTAAAATTTTACTCTGCCAAAAAGTATTGAAAACAGTTTTTTGGGTTTGGATAGATCCTAAATTGTGAAACAATATTGCGTGTGCCCATGGTGGTCTTATAGTTGTCTTTCTGTAATAAGATCAGGGTAGGCATGTTATGGTGATCAAAGGCCACTCGTGCAAGTGTTCTTGACTGCTGATGTTTTACACGCTGATATCTTGGAGAACATTATTAGAGGATCAGTCAATGAATCCAGGTGGGATTGTGAGCTATCATACACTTTTTTTGTGTGTGTATCTTTAATATTGTAATTGTTTTCAGATATTCGGGTAATTACAGCCCCATCTTCATACCAGCCGGGTCACTCCATAGTTTATCCGCTCTTTGTCGGCGAAAACCACCCATAATATCCATCACTGCCTCCAGTTAAAACATTCACACAGCATCATTATCATCATCATCACAATCAATTTGAATTGGCCAAGTTCAACCCTACCTAGGGAGCTAGCCTCTCCTAGATAGCATTAGTTATAATTGTGGCCCCTGTTCATGTCGTTATTTCATTGGGTGTTTCTTAGTGTTGGTGGTTCTAGCCTCCCAGGTTTTCTGCATGTCGTCTGTAGGGCTGTCATCTTAGTGCTGATTGGTTAGTGTGGTTGGTGCTCATGTCTGTAGGGCTGTCATCCTAGTGCTGATTGGTTAGTGTGGTTGGTGCTCATGTCTGTAGGGCTGTCATCTTAGTGCTGATTGGTTAGTGTGGTTGGTGCTCATGTCTGTAGGGCTGTCATCTTAGTGCTGATTGGTTAGTGTGGTTGGTGCTCATGTCTGTAGGGCTGTCATCTTAGTGCTGATTGGTTAGTGTGGTTGGTGCTCATGTTGCCTTATTATAGGGTTTCTACCATTGGTGGCTGTCCTCTGTTCCATTTTCATAATGTATCTGTTATTGTAGTCGCTCTGCTGAAGTCAGTCTGGTGGTTTGTTCCATCGTGTGATATCTCGGCGGTTTCAACTACGGCATTTACGAGACAGACCCCAGCTGCTGTCTTGATCCAGCTGTGGCATTCAGTGTTCTCTGTATGCTGTCCTCATCTATGCGTGTCTTACCAAAGCCAGCAGCATGCACACGCGTTAAATACAAAAAGCAGCCACCGGAAATGCTAATACAAACAGTCCGGCACTGGAAATACAGTTCGTAATAATAACAGTTGCATTGTCCTCCATATGTAAGCAGCCGTTACAACAGATCACTAGTTGCATACGCAATTAGTATCATAAGGCGCCACCTGTTCTCTGGCAACAGACCACTCGCCATATTCTGTATCTGCAGTTCACAGCACAAGCCACGTTGGACAGTCGATAAGCATTTGTAATCAAATTCACAACTCACAGTGCCACGCCATGCGCTCAGCTCAGTAGACGTGCGACGGAGCTATATAATTTCAGTCTACATATGGAGGACAGTGTAACTGTTATTATTAGGGCCAAAACGTACAATGAATAAAACAGTAAGTCTGCCTATCCACCGTAATGAACGGTAATCGGCCTAGGTTTTTCTTCTTGGTAACATAGTTTATTTTTCAAAAATCAGCGTACGTAGATACCTCAATAAATCGTCAGGTCTTCTCCAACAGACCCTACACTGGCCTGTCAGTTGTGCCGATCAAGGAGTTCAAACTGGCCCTACCTTTGTAACCTAGGTCGAGATAGCCTAATTACACGGCTCAAAGAAACGGTGTCAAGTGGGACAGTTTCAGGTGTCAAAAGTGTCGGCCTGGCTTGTGTCTTTCCTCGGCTTGAAAGTTAGTGATTAGATTTCCAAACTCCGGACTCTAATCGCTGTCAGTTACCACCATAGGTACATAAACACAAGAAGAAACTGATAGCCTGACAGAGAGAAACGTAGATGGAACGAACGAATGTTTGTTTGTTTTAGTATCCAGAAGCCATGAGTTGTTAACCCTTAGGCTCGGTATTATGGATATCGCAACCTTTCGGCCTTGATTCCATTGTAAATACCGTCAATCTGGGAGAAAATGTGGCTTTTCTGCCTACCCCCGGGATTGAACCCGGACCACAAGGAGTACGTCACCCGGTCTCCGCGAAATCCGGTTTAGCCAATTCCGCTAGAGAGCCGGGCGAACGAACGAATGAACGAACTTTATTTTCAGAGGGTCTCAAACTGGGCATACAGACACATTTCACATTTGGCCCTTCCAAACACTCATCTTTTAGTCTGTAATTGTATTGTATCTTTAAAGCATGCTATATTCATATAACAGTATAGTACTACGATTGACAGATAGACCGACACATCTTTTCCTTCCGTCCTTTACCCTTAAATGGATTGTAAGCCTCAATCACTCACGCCAAATCATCCTGTTCTGTGCTATTTGCTATCACATACAGCTACACCGGTGTCTTCGTTATTTATTTATCTTTAAACTTAACTCTACATCTTTATTCTTCAAGTGTTTTGGGTCTGCCTTTATTAATGTGAAGGCTAGATTTGATTGCCCAGCTTCGCCCGAGATACTGAAAGAAAGTTTGATTCCCCTGGCATCTATTTCATCTTGGTCTCCACCTGCCGTATATTTGGTAGAAACTGCACGGAGGAGCGAGCACAATGTGAGACTTCCGTCTGTAATTTTCTTTTAGATACCCTTGTTTCCTCAACCCGACAGTGTCCCATTGCAGTGCCTGTGTGTTTACCAACTCTCTGTTCGTCTCTTCTGGGAATTTTCTGTAGTAAATAGTGTTTTTTTTTTTTAACAGAGTGTCGGAGCTGGCTCTGAGGTGGAGTGGTAGGAGCCTCCTAGACTAGGGCCTGCCATAGTTAGCGCTAACGCCAACTTAGCTCAGTGATCCGGACCGTGACTCAGGATTACAGTTCGGCATGTTGGCTGTCCCCCAGATTTGAACAGTAAATCAGCCATCTTTTCTAACGTCCTATCTTAGTCTAAGTTTCAAAGAAGATAATAGCGAAATGTAAATTTAAAAAATAATAATAATAATTAATGTAAGGGATGTAACAGGGAAAAATATTAAAAGGGATATAACCAGTGAACATTTACTGTTACTTCTTCGTCTTCTTCTTCTCTTCCACCTTTTACCCCATCAAAGTGTCGGGGGGAGATGTAATGTTCCATGATGAGCTCTGTCAAAAGCACTATTAAGACAGATGTTCATTTCTGTAAGGCTGTTTTTAATGCCATCACTCTATATTTTCCGAGGTGTTCTTTACTGTTACTGATTGTTGCAATAAATAAAGAAAATGCACATAAACCTGTCCGCCAGTGTAACTGTTCAATTAAACATTGTAGCCATAATGACCGTTGAAAATGTAAACCGTGTGCTGGTCACTGTTTGGGAGAAGTTAACAGCTGAATTAAAATGAACACACACGATGCAGAAATAGTTTGTGATTTATAATATAGATTTGGGCTCCAGTACAAAGAAAGACAGACAGACAGTACGCAGAAGTTATCCCGATTTGTGAAGCAACTTTAATTTTTCGTTATTTTAAAGCCCCACTCCGGCTGTAGTCAAGGATCCCAATATAACCTAACGGTTCCATGGGGTTTCTGGGACTTGTGGCCAGGTGATCCTCATCCGAATGGTAGCACTTTGTGTTTCCGGGTGTTGCTTGCTCATTGTAAGGTCCTAGTAGGCTTGAACAACAAACAAAAAACAAACCGACAGACTGATAAACACATAAATAGATAGATTACATGTCAAGGAGGAAAAAAAACAGTTACCCATATGAATATTGCGATAACGCACACATGACAATCTTAACATCATCACTGTTAGTGTATATTATTTTGAACCGTTACATTTCACCTACAGTCACTTTAAGCTTAAATTAAGCATTCAATATTTTGTCAGTGTATTACTCACTCACTTATCTGCGTGACTTCCTTAACTGTTATTTTTCTGATATTTTTTTAAATTGCAGTGTTGAACATACAACAGTTTCAAGATGGTCACAGCTAAACAACCATTGGATACTATCTTTGGCAGTTAGTTAAATATGCTGTGCTGAAGAAGCGAGAACACATTTTGCTGGAATAACGATTACACTGAAAATGCTATTAATTTTTATGAATGACAGCTTTGCACCTAATAAAAATGTCCTAAAAGTCGCATATGCATCACCGAGCAAACTAGCTGAAGCGACAATTTAAACAATCTAGTTATTTAAAACATTGAAGTGTATCAGCTGAAAGCAACAATGTCCGCTCCACGTGAACGTCCACCAATTCCGCCTAGGATGCGTCGACAGACAAGCGAAGATGCCCAGAAGTACAACAAAGTCTCACCTGAATTCAGTCGGAGCCATGATGAGCAAAGTCTCACTTCTGCTAACGTGAACTCGCCAAGGACAGCTAAGCAGGGGACAGTTACTGACCACAGTAGACGTCTTTCATTAGGACTTCCGCTGTCAAACCAACTTTCAGTACATGTCCCTAATGGCAAGCTGTACGAATGTGTGACTGTGTACAAAACTAGAAGCCATAAGTCATCAGAGAGTAGTCCTGTGGATACCCCTACAGCATCTCCCCTGTCAGGGGAAGTAACTGATCCCCATAGCGAGAGTGTACAGAATGAGAACAGAAGAGCGCCTTCGTGGTACTGGGGTGATATTTCCAGGTAAGTGTTGGCACATTTGTCCATTTCTAGTTAAAATTGTTTGAGTTATGTATAAAATACAAGAGAAATTGTCATTGAAGGGGGCATAATATATACAGTATAAGATATGTAGTAGAGCCAGCGTTTGTTTGAGTTTTGAAAGAAGTAGTACGATAGCAGTATACCAGTCAATCGTTAGTCTTCCTCATGTAGGATGCATTTTTTGTTTTTTTGTTATTTGAAGCCCCACATTGGCTTTTGCCGGAGGGGTGGGGGGTGTTAAATACAGCCGGGCCATAAGTATGGCCTTACGGCTGAATGGGGTTTCTGGGACCTATCCACAGGCGACAAAATACTGGTCAGCAAAGTGTCCGTCGGTAAACTACTAGTCAGCAAAGTGTCTGTCGGCAAATTATCAGTCGGCAAAGTATCAGTCGGCAAAATTTCAGTCGGCAAAGTATCAGTCGGCAAATTATCAGTCGGCAAAGTATCAATCGGGGGGATTTGTACCTGGGGGGTTTCTTATCCGAATAGTGATACTTTGCTTCACCAGGTGTTAATTTCTCAGTGTGCGATCGCTGTGGGGAACAACCTCACTGACTTAAGGAAAGTAAGCTTGCAGATCCACCAGCTTCACTCACTTAAGGAAAGTAAGCTTGCGGATCACCAGCTTCACTCACTTAAGGAAAGTTAGCTTGCAGATCCGCCAGCTTCACTCACTTAAGGAAAGTTATCTTGCAGATCCATCAGATTCTCTCACTTATCTTGCAAATCCACCAGTTTCATTCACTTACCGAAAGTTATCTTGCAGATCCACCAGTTTCACCCACTTACCGAAAGTTATCTTGCAAATCCACCAGTTTCATTCACTTACCGAAAGTTAGCTTGCAGATCCACACTCACTGGACTAAAGGTTACTTCGTAACCGTTTTGTGGTGCCCCAGACTGAAACGCACAGGTGTATAACATAAATGCAAACCAGACAACACCTGGAGAAGGAAGATGAAGAGTGCAGTTAAAACGATTTAAAGATATGGCGTGAGCTTCATGCAGTAGTGAAGGATAGAACGACTAAGTGTCAGCCCGTTGAGTGTCTGAGCTCCACTGGGGGATAGATGGCAAAAGAAGAAGAAAAATATAACTGTGGTATGTGGTTTCTGTAATGTATGCCTATCTGATTCTCGTCCTTGAAATGCTAACTGCCAGTAGTATGGTAGCTCAGAAAATTGCATCATTTTTTCTAGATCCGATGCAGAGGAAAAACTCCGAGATCTACCAGACGGCTCGTTTCTAGTCAGGGACTCGACCACCGCAGGACAATATACACTGACTGTCAGGTATGTCGGGAATTTCATTCGTTGTTGAAGATCCCAGTTGTATACCCGTGTTGTGTTGGGAGATATTTGTAAGTCGAAGTTAAAAACCTAGAATACTTGCCAATTTATTTCTTATTCCATAAATTGAGTTTTTTTTTCTTTTCTTACTAAGAATGGGTTAGTTGTATAAATTGCGTGCCTTTCTTAACTCTTGCTTGCCTTTCTTAACTCTTGCTTGGCATTTTTGGTAATTTATTTGTTATTTCATAAATAGTGCATGCACAACTTAACTCCTGGGCTCTCACTCAATCACTAAAGAAAAAGATTGCAGCTTTTGAACTGAAATGTTACAAAAAAATTCTCAAAATACCATAGATCAAGCAGAGGAAAAACATCGACATTCCACACGCGTTTAACATCAAGGAGAACTGGCTCATAAATAGTGTCCAGTCCCAAAAGTTGAAGTATTTTGGCCACATCAAGCGTCATGGTGGCTTGGAAAAGACGTCGGTGGAGGATGCAGTTTGTGGAAAGCGAGGCAGGCGTCGACCTCCGCGAAGATGGATAGAAGATATTGAAGATGCATTGGCATTGAAAGCGTATGGGGCTGGAGAGCTGGCTAGGAACATGGATTCTTTCAGGCGTGCCTTGAGGAGAGCGACGTTCTGTAAAGGACATGCTGATTGATGATGATAATTCTACTCTAGTGTCAGTCCAGGAAGTGTATGGGCGGAGGGGGGCAGTTTAAAATCAGTTGCAATGGACTCTAAAGTTACTACTCGGTTTGAATATTTTCTTCATGAAATGCCGGTGTATTGGGAAATGAACAAGCAGATATACTAGCTGATTCTGCACAACATGATGGTGAATTGATGCGGGACAAGCTGAATGTTGTTAGGGCCCTCTGGGGCCAGTGAACTGTGCGGAGACGCAGACGGATTATCACGGTCTGAGGAGAATGGCGCTGCAAGGAGTGACCAGGGGATCTGGCCGATGAGCAACACCTAATACCATCGGAATTAGGAATCTGCACTTGCTGCTGATGGGGACGAAGCGCTTATAGGAGTGTCCCGAGTGCTGTGATGTCGCATTCCTAATTAAACATTATACTGTGTATTACTGAACTGGCCGTAAACAATCCGCCACAGAAGCGACGCCGTCTTGAAACGCTCTACCCCACTTATAAACTTTCCGGACTGACAGGCATGCACCACAATACTGACCCTCCATTCGCTGTTGAATTTTTGTCGGTTTCACCCCTTGACTGATCAACAAACGGTTAACAGAACGCTGCCTCTCTTTGGTGCATAATAAAAGTGGGGCGGCCATAATTAAAAGGTAGCTACGTTGTCAACATCTGATGTCACATACTTAACAGTCGTGCCATCCTTAACAATATTGACAGGTTACACGACAGTGGCATAGTATTATAGTTTTATGCTTTTTATTTGGAGCCTGCCCGTACTTTGATACTAAATAGGGAGACAATTTCTATGTCAATCTTACTCATATAAGTAAATGCAAGCTTTCCCCCGTCAAGACTTTACCAAGATAGGAAACCCATTCACTTTAAGAGTGAAAGCTAGATCGTTTTGGGGAGTCATCAACAACACATCAACCCTTTATGGTTGGTTTGCTAGTATTTTAAAATGTAACAGTAATTCCATGGCCGGTGCCTACCGTTTGATGACAAGTAAAAACATACCAATGTTACCTTTCTTTTGATATAAACAAGGTAGTTGGGAGAGAAAGCATACTACATGGGAAACATGGTTTTTACACTATTGCCCTGGCTTCGTGCTATGTGAAAGATAACTTTATCTCTGGTTTTAGTAATCCTGGCTCTTGCCATGGTTTGAAATCGCGTCCCTCCCTCCCTATAGCATTCTCAGTGGTTTTCAAACTGGGGGGCTTTTCTGGGTGCAGGAAAGTTTCGGGGGGGGGGGGGGGGGGGAGGGGGGCATGAAAACGTAATTTACATAATTAATCAGAAGGGAAACCCTTGAGGCCATAGAAATATGATATATATAATAAACAAAGACACAGTGTATTAGTAGGCACTCATACAAGGAAGTATGGTTTTTAAAACGTTAGTCTCCCCACCGAATGTAGGTCAACTCGATTGATAAGTTTGTTGGACTAGTGTACAGTCGTCGAGGTTATGGGTGTCGCGGTCTGTTGTTGTCTTGCACTTACGTTTTTATTCCAAGAAATAGAGGGCTGGTAACATAGGTTTCCTCACTTTCTAGAGAGGTTGTGTGAAATACCCAGTATCTAAATGTTTTTGTAGTGTTAAGAGCTTTGGCATGGTGAAATATACAACACGCGATATCAGCGCCAGTGCGGAATAGCCCCGTGACCTTGTGTGAAAGTCGAATCATCGATGCCGACCTATCAGAGGTGAGGTAGGCTGGAGCTCGATCAATCAGTAGCGAGCTAGTGTGTACAGGTGTGTAAATGGGGAGACCAACGTATTAATAACCAGAAGTAGAAAGATAGAAGGACACACTAGACAATATAAAAATCGAAAGCTATAGTTACTGTGCCGGAAATCGAACCTGTCACCTCCAAATGGCGTGTGCGCCTCACTGTGGAAGCAAGCGTACTGTACTGAATTACCTGAAAACGGTCGAGAACCACACTGCTCTCGCACAATATAATACTATCATCTTGAAAGACGGAAAGGCGCCAACGGAATTGCTATTTATCCCAAAATCAGATTTACTGTATATGGATTTGGGATTGCCACATTTATTCCTTGTCACATTTCTATCCCAGACAATTCGATGAGAACTGTTGAAACTTTTACTCAGATGGTTTGAGATTAAAGTCAACAACATCAAAATAATCCATAATAAAAGAAAATAATGAAAATAACCAGCACTGCTTTTCTAAAATTATTACAATGTCCCCACGAAAGCAGCCAATTAAGAGAGATATGTTTGAGAAAGCAGCCAATTAAGAGAGATATGTTTGAGAAAGCAGCCAATTAAGATAGATATGTCTGAGAAAGCAGCCAATTAAGATAGATATGTTTGAGAAGCAGCCAATTAAGATAGATATGTTTGAAAAAGCAACCAATTAAGACAGATATGTTTGAGAAAGCAGCCAATTAAGATAGATATGTTTGAGAAAGCAGCCAATTAAGATAGATATGTTTGAGAAAGCAGCCAATTAAGATAGATATGTTTGAGAAAGCCAATTAAGATAGATATGTTTGAGAAAGCCAATTAAGATAGATATGTTTGAGAAAGCCAATTAAGATAGATATGTTTGAGAAAGCCAATTAAGATAGATATGTTTGAGAAAGCCAATTAAGATAGATATGTTTGAGAAAGCAGCCAATTAAGATAGATATGTTTGAGAAAGCAGCCAATTAAGATAGATATGTTTGAGAAAACAGTTACACGGGGGAAGGGTGGAGAGTGCGGGAAGCACTGGGTGTCATCACTGGGAGTTTAAAAGGAGGAAGGGTAAAAGGTAAAATATCCACCTATACATTAGAAATAGCGGACATAAACTTCTTTCACATGTGGGTTCCACGTGTGGGTTCCGCGTTTGGGTTCCACGTGTGGGTTCCACGTGTGGGTTCCGCGGCCTTGTTTTTTTTTTAGGGATACAAAAAGTGGGAGGGGGTAACAGACCCACTGGCTCCCTAACAGTCAACTAACTAGATGTGTTCTGTTCGGAGTTAGAATGCCTCTTCATGAGAGGCAAGGAACCAACAGTTTGCATACAAATAAGCCAGATATGTACAATGGAAGTGCACGCAAAACTCAAGTTCTGAAACAAGACTTAATTCCAGAAGTGCATGAAAAATCAGCACTCTCTGTCGGATTTACAGCCGGTGAGCGTGAAGAAAAAGAAGAAGAAGAAGAAGAAGAAGAAGAAGAAGAAGAAGAAGAAGAAGAAGAAGAAGAAGAAGAAGAAGAAGAAGAAGAAGAAGAAGAAGAAGAAGAAGAAGAAGAAGAAGAAGAAGAAGAAGAAGAAGAAGAAGAAGAAGAAGAAGAAGAAGAAGAAGAAGACAGAAGATGCTCACATCGCCCTTCCCATCCCAGCACTTGTGGAAGTAACTGGAAAACGGAAAGAAGACAAAGAAAATTAAAAGTTATCGCAAGTATCAAGGTTCAGGCTCCTCAAATTCGAACAAATACAACTTTATCAGTATCAAAAACATAATAAATGGATTCATGTCTTTCCCAGACAAGATGGCCACAACCGATGTATCAAAGTTTACTGTCAAGAAGGCATGTATGGGTTAAAACTGAATGAGTGTCGGTTCCAGTCTCTGCGAGCTTTGGTGGACTACTACACCAGGTACACTCTAGCAGAGTTCAACAGACGTCTGACCACAAGCCTGGTGTATCCAGTCAGGATGGTATGTGACTTTCTAGACACATCCATAGATCCGTACTTTGGTATCTCTTTTTTCTTCTGTCTATAATACTATGCCAAGGGCATAGCTTCTTTCAAGCAATCATTGTTAGTTACTCCAACAGTCCAAGGGATTCTTAACATTCATTTGAGGAACAACATCTTCGTCGTCTCCCTTTTCTTTCTAATTTGTGCATTCACAAACCATGATTCACTATCATACAGCAGTATAGGTTCTACATAATATTTTAGTACAATCTTTTTTGTGGACATCCAAAGGGAGGGACCTATTTCACAAGATGTTCTTCATTCTGTGAAATGCCGCTTTCTACATAATATTTTAGTACAAACTTTTGGACATCTAAAGAGAGGGACCTGTTTCACAAGATGTTCTTCATTCAGTAAAATGCCGCCTTAGCCTGGCCTATTCTGTTCTTAATTTCTGACACGCATCTTTTGTCTGATGTTGTGATTGTACCCAATTATTTGAATTTATAAACTTATATCAATTTTTTACCTTTTGTTATAATATAATATAATATCACACTATCTATTCTTTTCTGTTATATAAGAAGAATTAAAAGAATAAACAATAAATCGAGAAAATATCAGAACTTTTTTTTTTCTAATTAATGCCTCTAGGTGGTGGTGTCTTACATAAACCTTTCAGACATTTTGGGTTTCTTGGAGTACTTATTCTACAGTGAAATCACATCCTCATTGCCTGATTTTAGAGACCAGAAACTTTAACAGCATAAATGAGAGAAGAAAAACTGGGATGAGGAAACAGACAAAAGACAGAAAAAGAGAAAAAAAGATGTTTGTGGATACAATATATGGAAAAATATGCACAGAGAGGGAGAAACATAGACAAGAGAGAGAGACACAAACAGACAGAAAGAAGGTGACAGAGAGAAAGAATGAGACAATAAAATAGTGTTATGTATAACAATGAATGAAGATAAGGCAGACATAACAATGCTGATAGATAGAGAGAAAATCAATGAGAGAGACAAAGAAAGAAAGAGAAAAAGAGAGAAAATTTTAGTTTAACAGACAGATTTCTTCTTATTCTTAGCATTTACTAGCTGCAAACTTCAACGCAAAGTTCTGGTTGTTCGTCCCCTTCTAGATGTTGGGCTTGCTTCAGAACTTGAGTTTTGCATGCACATCGGGCTTATTTGTGTGCAGACTGTAGTTGGTTCCTCTCATCTCAGACATTCACTCCAACTTCAAAGTAAACATCCCTGATTTGTCACTTTGTTACATTCTTGTTAGGGAGACCGTGGGTCTATTCATTAACAAGCAGGTCATAAGAGTCGACTCAGTGGGGGCTTCCTTCGAAATAGGAGTGCATTTGCTGAGGGCAAGGAAACAACACTCTGCACACAAATAAATCAGATCTGTAAAACAGATGTGCACGCAACACTCAGGTTCCAGAACAAGACTAAAGTGTAGAGGTGGAAGAAAAACCAGATGTTACCAGAGTTTACGGCTGGTGAGCACACAGAAGAAGAAAAAGAAACACTATTGTATATTGTTGTTTGTATTCGCTCATGAGCTCAATGTATTTTCTGTATCATCCTAATTTCACAGCATCATTTCAAGAAAATAGACATCTATGAAGCTCTGTTTATTCTGGCTGACTATGGAAGGGACTTAAAACAAGCAAGAAACCAATATGTTATTTTAATAGACAAAGAGAAAGAGGCTTTAACAGTGAGTCTTGTCTTTTTCATTCATTATCATTCTAGAAGAAGTTGAAACCTTTAAATACCTCGGCTCCCACATGTGTAACAATGGCAGCTATACCAAAGAGATCAAGTCAAGGCTTGATATGACAACAGCCACAATGTCCAAACTGAATACGATGTGGAAGAGCAAAATCAGCATCACAGTTATCACTCGTATTGTCTATTTTCTTATATGGATGTGAGAGTTAGACTCTTACTGTGGAAACTGAAGGAATGATTCAGGCTTTTGAGTGTAAATGTTATAGACGTACTTTACGAACTAGTTATTTAGAACATAAAACTAACAAATAAGTCAGAGACAGAATACACAAATTTGCAGGACATCAGGGAGCCTCTCTTGGCAGTGGTGAAACGTTGCAAGTTACCTTGGTGAGGATGATTCAGCTGCAAAAGACTGTACTTCAAGTAACACAGAATGGGGGGGGGGGAGGGGTGTCGGAGAAGAGTAGGGCAAAGAAGAGCCTCGAATGACATCAAGAAATGGCCAGGACTAAGTTATTATATGCTTATTTATCAAGAGGAAAACAGAGAAAGATCACAGGTTTCATGTGCTAGTACTTCCATCGATCCCCCTCCATGACTCTAATGGGGTCAGGGGCTATGTTATGTTATGTAATGTTATTCCCCATGTGGGTTAATTGACCTCATTTTGCGAGATAAAGAGACACCCAGGTTCAAAGATCTCCCTGCCTAACACCCAGACTGAAATATCTCCCTGCCTAACACTCAGACTGAAAGATCTCCCTGCCTAACACAAAGGCTCGAAGATTTCCCTGCCTAACACAAAGGCTCAAAGATTTCCCTGCCTAACACAAAGGCTCGAAGATTTCCCTGCCTAACACAAAGGCTCGAAGATTTCCCTGCATAACACAAAGGCTCGAAGATTTCCCTGCCTAACACAAAGGCTCGAAGATTTCCCTGCCTAACACAAAGGCTCGAAGATTTCCCTGCCTAACTCAAAGGCTCGAAGATTTCCCTGCCTAACACAAAGGCTCGAAGATTTCCCTGCCTAACACAAAGGCTCGAAGATTTCCCTGCCTAACACAAAGGCTCAAAGATTTCCCTGCCTAACACAAAGGCTCGAAGATTTCCCTGCCTAACACAAAGGCTCAAAGATTTCCCTGCCTAACACAAAGGCTCGAAGATTTCCCTGCCCAACGCAAAGGCTCGAAGATTTCCCTGCCCGACACAAAGGCTCGAAGATTTTCCTGCCTAACACAAAGGCTCGAAGATTTCCCTGCCTAACACAAAGGCTCGAAGATTTCCCTGCCTAACACAAAGGCTCGAAGATTTCCCTACCTAACACAAAAGCTCGAAGATTTCCCTGCCTAACACAAAGGCTCGAAGATTTCCCTGACTAACACAAAGGCTCGAAGATTTCCCTGCCTAACACAAAGGCTCGAAGATTTCCCTGCCTAACACAAAGGCTCGAAGATTTCCCTGCCTAACACAAAGGCTTGAAGATTTCCCTGCCTAACACAAAGGCTCGAAGATTTCCCTGCCTAACACAAAGGCTCGAAGATTTCCCTGCCTAATACAAAGGTTCGAAGATTTTCCTGCCTAACACAAAGGCTCGAAGATTTCCCTGCCTAACACAAAGGCTCGAAGATTTCCCTGCGTAACACAAAGGCTCGAAGATTTCCCTGCTGAACACAAAGGCTCGAAGATTTCCCTGCCTAACACAAAGGCTCAAAGATTTCCCTGCCTAACACCCAGGTTCAAAGAGCTCCCTGCCTACACCCAGGCTCAAAGATCTCTCCACACAACATCCAGGCTCAAAGATCTCTGCCTACACCCAGGCTCAAAAATCTCAGGCTCAAAGATTCTGTCTACACCCAGGCTCAAAGATCTCTGCCTACACCCAGGCTCAAAAATCTCAGGCTCAAAGAGCTCCCTTCCTACACCCAGGCTCAATGACCTCCCAGCCTACACCATAGATGTGGTAAATACGGGCAATAGTAGCAGTGTGTTTTACAAACAGTCTGTAACAATACCCAGAGGTTTTTAGGCTACCTGGTTAGTTTTTTGTGTGTGTGCCCCCAACAGAAAAAAAAATCTCTATTCCTTACTAAGGGCCAAACCAAGATCTCTCATATGAGAACCTAACACTCTAAATATACAGACTTACTGCTTGACACTTCAAAAGCTTGCAACGTAGTCTGACCATACAAAAAGAATACAACAGCTCTGGTTTCTCATTTTTTATTTGGTCACAGGAATTGCAGATGTGCCATATGAAAGCTCGGGCATACCAGAATGCAAGAGACATGGTTGAGAATCTGATCATCTGCCCTGAAATCACACAAGATGATGTAGAAGACAGGCAAGCACTGAGTCACCAGAAGAAGGCAATGTGGGTAACTATGTTTTTGCTCATTAATTCTTTCTCTCCCAGAAATTTTACAGCAGAAACCAAGAGAAGAAGAAATAGTCACATTCTCAAAAAATTGTCATTACATCTAAAGAGGTTAGATAGGCCACTGGTTTTTAAAGGTGGTAGTAGTAGTAGTAGTATTAGTAGTAGCACCAGCAGCAGCAGCAGCAGCAGTTGTTGTTGTTGTGGTTGTTGTTGTAGTTGTTGTTTTTGTAGTAGTAGTAGTAGTAGTTGTAGTAGTAGTAGTAGTAGTAGTAGAGTAGTAGTAGTAGTAGTAGTTGTTGTTGTTGTTGTTGTTGTAGTTGAAACAATATTCTGTTCAAACTGTTTTCCCGTTGGTATTTCAATAATCCATATGTATGCCTATCATTTGCATTTGGTTATTCAGCTTATGTGATAATTGTACAAGACTGAATAAATTGTCTAATTCAATATTGGTTATGTGTGCTTTCAAAAAATTATAGTAATTATATTGTGCAGTATATCCTTGCGGATATTTAGGGTGATCTGGGATGCCATGATTCTGTCATAAGATATAGTAGCACCTCATATGCTAACTCCTTTTCTTGTGATGGAGTGTTTAATCCTTCCCTCTAGTTTTTAAAAATTTTTTTAAAGGCAGTAAAAAAAATATAAGATTTTAATCAATCAAAAACTCACAGAGAATGCTGAGAAAGGTGGAGACAGGCAGAATAGCAAGCATCACTTCAGAGGTCCAGGGTAGTTAGCATCCTTTGGATATTTTCTCCAGGTCATGTGTGTTCTGCACCACTTTTGGTGAACAGATGTAGGACAAGCTGGATGTTGTGAGTGCGTAGGAACAGATAGATCATTACGGTTTGAGGAGAATGGCACTGTTAGGAGTTACAAGGGGATCTAGCTGACGCTTGACACTCAGGGGAAAGGCGAGATGGATATACAATCAGACAGTTACTGGTACCATCAGAATTTAAACTCTTCGCTTGCTGCTGAAGATGGGGATGGAGCGCTTATGGAGGTGTCCCAAGTGCTGTGATCAACTTTTCTGTTAGAGGTTTGATCCTATATAGTATAAAATTCTTTGAAGAATTACTGGTCGCGTGCTGCAGCAGTCATGAAGTCTGTGGCTCCCCCTGCCCCCTCCACCCCTCCACCCCATCCCCTTTTTTCAACCAACAAATCATCTGCACTATAAAACTACAGAATTGAACTGACAACGTTCAAAGCACAAGGCACATAGCTTAACAAGTTTATTGCGTGGATGTATTGTTCAATTTTTCATCCTGTTTTGGGCTGGGTTCACATAATTGTACATAACTATTGCAAAGTATTTTTTCTTTGTAGACAATGTTATTTTATGTCAAAGGTATTTCACAGGAAGGATTAGAGGAACAGACTTGTTGAAGATGAATTTAACAACAAAAATGAAGATATTTATGTAAAAAGTCGTAAAACTTAATGAGCTAAACAACTATAGTTATTTTCTTTTCACAAAATTTTTTTTGGGGTCTTTCTAGGTTAGATGCCAATATGGCAAAGGCGTTCAATCTGAAGAAATATTACGCAGGTTACAGTGAAATTGTCAGTCGAGAAGTTCAGTGTAAAGAGGAAGAACTCCACAAAGCCTCACACGCCCTGAATGCTCATACCACAGAACTGCTGGATATAGAGGAGAAGTGTGCTCTTATTAAAGAGTAAGTCAGTAATTGTTTATTTATGCTTCTTCTTCTTCTTCTCTTCCTCCTCCTGCTTCTTCTTCTTTCCTCCTCCTCCTTTTTCTTCTTCCTTTTTCTTCTTCTTCTGTTTCTTCTCCTCCTCTTCCTGCTTCTCCTGCTCCTCCCCTCCTCCTGCTTCTTCACTCTCCTCCTCCTTCTTCTTCTCCTCTTCCTGCTTCTCCTGCTCCTCCTCCTTCTTCTCCTCCTCCTCCTGCTTCTTCACTCTCCTCCTCCTTCTTCTCCTCCTCCTTCTTCTTCTCCTCCTCCTAATTCTTCTTTTCTTCTTCTCCTCCTGCTTTTTCACCTTCCTCCTCCTCCTTCTGCTCCTGTTCCTCATCCTTCTTATTCTCCTCCTTATTCTCTTCCTCCTCACCGTTCTCTTCCTCCTTCTCATCATCCTTCTTCTTCTTCTTCTTTTTCTTTTCTTCTGTAATCTCTTTTCTGCGATTCAGTGTCAGTTTTTTAAATAAAGGCAACTCATTCTGCTTGCTTGCTTGTTTGTTGAACCCCACCATGACATCGCACAAGAGGTCCCAAAATCCCCTTTCATCCGTTATGGCAAATATTCGGTACAGCCCTAGTGTTGAGTATTTCACTATCATCATTATCATCATGTGTTCTGCCAACTGGCGTAGGCGCTCATGCATCTCCACAGATCAAGATCCCTGGTTGCCTGGAACAGCTCTCTTGACGATGCCATCGTTTCAGCCCATCCAGCATCATCTCTCTTGGTCTGCCTTTTCCCACTGATCTTTCCAATTGTCACCTTGTTCTCCAATGTCTCTCTTCTCATTCCCTAAATAAATATGAAACATGCAAGCGTAATAACTATTTTGAATGGTACTTGTGAGTAAGTTTTTAAAAAAAATTGACCATCTCTGCCAGGTAAACACAGCCTAAAACGGGAACCAGGCAATGTCCTGGGAGTTCAAGATGGCCAATGCTATGCTAACCACGTCACCCAGACGTTCTGTTTGGTCTATAAAAATATTAGCTCTGCATCATATGCCTGATAAGACATTGGCATAGAAAGGGTCTTTTGTTTTACTTAACATTTTGTTCTAACTGAACTAGTGTCTGGGTTGGTGAATAAGGACAAATTATTTGGAAACTGCAGAGATGTGCTTTTATTCATGTATTATAAGACAGATAAAAAGAGTAATGAGGATGTTTTGAAAGCAACTGACTCACGAAGAGAACTGATTGTCACATCAGAAAGAGACAGTCTACATTCTTCGGTCATGTGATGAGCAGGAGAAAACTGGAGTACATTGTGAGAGTTAAGAAAGTTGGAGATGTAGTGCCTGTTATTGTATGTGATGTTGCTGCATTGTAATGAGATGGCCAAACCACTTGATTTGCTGTTTCTTGATGAAACCAGTGCAAGATGTTGTTCATTAATGAAAACATTAGTTCATATTTTCATTGAAAGTTCTTGAACAAATATCTACCAATAATGTCATTCCAGACAGGTATTGAAGTGTGGTGCTAAGCCTGAAATGGTTGACTGCCTTCTCAATGATTGTGCACTAGAAACTCCATGGGACAGATCCTTATGGTTGGTGAATTGCTCCAGAGATGAGGCTGTTCTTCGGCTTATGGACATGGAAGTGGGCACATTTCTCATCAGACAGAGAGATGAAGCTCACAAGCCTTATGCACTTTCAATTGTGTAAGTTGCTTTTACAAGATAAGAAACCATAAATTATTAATTCTCAAACCTTTTTGATTTAATTTACTACAAAGTCACAAATGGTCAGTCAAACAGAGCTGTAATATGGTAGTATGAACTGACGATTGTTACTGGCATTTGAACTGACAGGAATTTACACACGGGAAGTGTATTTTTCAGAAATCCACTAGCAATTATTTAAAATAAGAAAGCCATACAGGAAATTTTGAAGGGAGAAGCCAGTAGCCACATTCAACAAAGATCCAAAGATAATCTGTATATATATATATATATATATATATATATATATATAGTTCGAAATGGGAAGATGAAAGTTTAGGAATAGGAATATACATCCTAATATTTTCCGTATTGGAATGTATATTCCTATTTCTAACCTTTCATCTTCTATGTTATTCTATATATCCAAATTATAACCTGGATGGGTGGAACAGGATGTTATTGTGTAAATTACTATAAATTACTACTGCTGCTACATAACAAATCACTGTTGTAAATAAGAGCCACTGCAGTTGGACTGACTGCAAAAAAAAAAGCTAGACCAAACACAAACAGTCATTATAAAGCTCACCAGACAGAAAGGAAAAGATATGCACAAATACAGAGTCTCTATTAAGAAGGCATCTAATACAGAAAGGTGTATAAACAAGTTAATAAATGAACAAAAATTAAAGTATGCCGAATAATGACCCCTGCAGGACTGAAAATTCCAAAATTATGAATGATTTTCCAAGGAAAGGCAGTTGGTTTGATCACCGAAGCAAGATTTTTTTCTCCCAGAAAATATTGGTTTTTGCCTTGGTGGTAGGAATTATTAAACGGGGGGGGGGGGGGGGGGGGGGGGGGGGGGGGGGGGGGGGGGGGGGACTGCTTTGAGAGAGCTGCATTGTAAATATCTATGAGATGTTACAGAAATGAGTGTGAAGATATCAGTGTATCTTCTGTGTAAATACAGAAATCAGTAGATTTTCCTTATGCATGAGGAAATCATTGTACTTAAATATTCTGAGCTGTAACGCAGAAGCTGTATAACCAGTTCCCCTCCTTTCCCAGATAATCATAAAAATTTGGCAGGAATCAATTTGTATGAGGCCATGTTGACCCTAGAGCCTTGCTAAGTGCATGCACACACGTGCATGCACGCATCCACTCACCCACACACACACACACAAAAAGCCTGCCTCTTGTAATGATTGAACCCTGACCTCTGACTTGGTAGACAAGTTCATTAGCAATTGAGTTTCCCCTTTCATAATAAAAAGTAAAAGTAAAAAAGTCAAGAGGTTCAACTTATTTGCATTGAATTTTAGCTTGTATTGTTTTGTTTCTCTCTACAGCAGTGATTTACAACCTTTTTTTTCAGTGATACCCTCCTGAATTAATGGCAAGATCTCCCACTGCTCCCTCCCAAATGCCATTTTGAAGAAAAATGTCATTAAAAAAAGAGGAGAGAATTCCCAAGCACTATTAACAAAAACTTGAAGAAAACTTTCATCATCATCATCAAGCGCCTTGCCAGCTGGCGTAGGCATTCATGCATCTTCACAGATCTCGGTCTTGGTGTTCTGGAGATATTTGTGAGCCGTGTGGTGACTGTGAATCTCTCACGAGACTGCAAGAACAACAAGTTAAAAGGATGTGTGGCCAGACAAGAGTGCTCTGCAGTGAATCAAAATGGAAATTTAAAAAACCAATATAGAATGGTTTTGCGAGCCACTACTTGTTGTGGATTTTACTGAGGAGGGGTTCCGAGCAGATGTGGACTGAAGGGTTTGATGTTCAGTGAGGAGGGGTTCCGAGCAGATTTGGACTGAAGGGTTTGATGTTCAGTGAGGATAATCATTTGACTAACTAACTAATGATGCTCCTTGTCTTTTTCAGCTGCAGCAATGAAGATGGCTCCATAGATGTGAAACATTGTGTTATTTATCACCCAGAAGGCCGGGGCTTTGGGTTTAGGCCAGAGGGATCAGTCTTCCATACAATCGATGAGCTGGTATCAAATCATGCACACATATCTATCAAAGTCTACTTCTCTCACATGGATACCTGCCTGGCATATCCAGTTCTTCAGGGCAGGTCAAGGGTCAACAGTTGTGATGAATACGTCCAGACCTCCTAACACTTGCAGTGAAGATTAATTTATTTGTAAAATGATTTCCACACTTTTTTTTATAATTGTATATTTGTGAATAATAAATTAAATCTCCTTCCAAGAAATCCCACGTCAAGAAGTGTAATACACACTGTGAATACACAGAAATAAGCAGCACAGACCAAAGATGAAGTAACAGACAGAGATATATCAAAATAAAAATACAAAGAAAAGAGGAGCTTTTATAGCACTAAGTCTCTATGGGCATCAAAAAGAAAAAAAAATCTAGTGCAAAACAGAATATTTAACCACTGTGTCACAGACAGTACAATTGAATGGAGCTAAAATGTGTTGAACAACTAAAACAATAGCTAATTATCTAAAAACATACATTAATTGATGTATGTGCAGAAGTGAATAAATTAATTGGTACGACAATACTCCTAATGTGGAGCTGGTAATCTGGTAATCTGGTAATCCTAGTTTCAGCATCATAGCAAACGGGTCACCCCATTGTTGCTCCGCTCCTGTGCCAACGAAAAACACTCGTAGCTCACAGTGTCACACCATGCACTCAACTCAGAAGCTGGGTGACGAAACTATATCCTTCCAGTCTACAAATGGAGCAAAAATGCAACGGCCACCGCCTGGCAGAACTGCCACGGCTTAAAAAAAAAAAAAAAAAAAAAAAAAAGTGGTCGTGCCTAGTGTCCACTGTGACTTGAAGCATTATGTGAGGGGTTAACAAATGGTCACCCCAGCAGTACCCTCACTATTAGCTGGGAAAGGGACTTAGGACATTACATCCACCAGCAGGCGTCGCCCCTACAACGACCTGACTGCCTTCGTTAATGTGGAGCTAATGGAGACAGCAAATTCTCACTTCTCAGTTACTGAGTCGGAACAATATTTAGTAATACCACACTGTAGTGTAGTAACACTCACATATGAGGTGACTTCAAGTAGGGTTGGCATAGTAGTTCACTACTCCATCCTGCAAAATACTTATAGCCACTCCTTCCTGCAAAATACTTTGGCCACAATAGCCAACCAACCATGACCAAGTCAATCTTGACACATTTTGTTTTAGGGATTATGTTCTGTAGAGAATAAAGTGCATAAGCAGAAAACATACATTTCAGTGAATCAATAAAGTCCTCTTAAGACCGCAAAACTCATGTAGAAGAGACGGTCACAGATCAATAATTTGGAGAGGACAACAAGAAGAATGAGGTGGAAGTGCCAAATGAGGACGGAAGCCCTTCCAAAGACTTGACGAAAAGAAATAAACAGGCTGGAACCTCTCTGGGGAAAATACATAATTACTAACACAAGCCTATATTGGAATAGTAAGGCTCATTATGGAATACTCAAGTTCTTGCATTTCTGCAGCACACACACAAAAAAAAAAAAGAACTTAATGAAAACTAGACAGTGCTCGCAATAATAATAGAATAACACTTGGAGTATTGAGAAGAACCCTTGTAAAAGAAGAAGAAAACTGTCGGCTTTGTTTTTTAGGTCTCTGCTCACAATTTTCAGTTTGAAAAGCTCTAAAGGCTTCTAAACCATTCATTACCCAAAAAACTTTGATACAGATCAACGACAGACTACTTAAAAAGCCCAAATCATCTTGCACAAGAAACCCAGCAAACCACATACAGATGTACTAGAAACTGACAGAATGATTTGTGAAGCTTATGAAGCTTTAACACACACACACACACACACACACACAACTATATATGAGTTGTTCAGATTCATCAAGCACAGCTCTAGAACTCACAAGAACAGTCTTCAAAAATAAACATTCACAACAAAAGAACTCTCACATATGCTCAGGAAGCAGTAACAATATTTGGACACAGGTGTTCACTGATGGTTCTCTTAAAGAGGCCAAGCACACAAAAAGAGGAAGTATGTAGGAATCTGATCTTATCCCAACAGCAACAAAGAAGCATGCTTTATATTAGCAGGAGCGCCAGTTTCACAAGTATTGAAAATAGGAGTGAATGATATCCAGAAATGAATTAACTAAACGTTTTTAAAAAAAACACGGACACACACAGATACAGCCAAATGTTTTGATAAGTCTGTATCAAGGAACAAAACCAACTTATTATAGCAGGGGCCACATCCTTTATTGCAGACTGCAATAAATCAAATGGAACCAGCCTAAAAAACCAGCCATATTCAGAGATTGTTGAAATGAGAATTCCATGTCATTCCAGTGTCATCCATGAAATGAAACAACAAAATTATCATGCTACCCAGAAGAATGGAACTAGTCTTACAGTAAATACGAGGCCAGTGTGTGATATTGCTGGAGAAAAAAAAAGGAAAGATAACCCCTTTGTACAGCAGACACACCTGTCTCAGAGCTTTAAAAGGGCAAGTACACAACTAAAACAATATGCCAAGATGAACTGGAGAATAAGTGGGTGTAGTCAAATGGTGGCACGAGCCAGCCACCTTTTACCTGGCATGCATGTAAGGCATGGTCGCCCTGGGACGCAAGGTAATTTCTGAAAAAAAAAAGTCTGGCTCCACTAGGATGAAACCGGAGAAAATAAAATAAAATTTAGACCAGAGCATAGCAGCATAAACTGTTTGACAGAAACACACAAACCAGAACTTTCAGACTGGGATACTCTAAACATACTTTCACTATTTATAGAGAATGTTTCGACCATTGTTTAGACTGAATTGTAAAATAGAAAATGAATATTAAACCAGTGCATTGCACCATAAACTGGTTTGACAGAAACATAAACTGGTTTGACAAAAACAAACTGGTTTGACAGAAACATAAACTGGTTTGACAGAAACAAACAAACCAGAACTTTCAGACAGAATGCTATACTGTAAACTCAGAGTATACCTTCACTGTTTAGGTCTTAGTCAGCCGCATATGGTTGTGAAACACCAAGACAATCTCTAGAGCAGTGTTCTACAACCCACAGGCTGCGGCCCACTGGTGGGCTACAGAAAAATCCCCGTGGGCTGCCCCCCAAAAGATTTTGTTTAGTCAAGTAACAAGGAGAGGTAGGGGGTGTTTCTCTTCTAGTCTGTAGGATTAATACCTCAAAGACTTTCTATTTGTTTGAAAAGATCTAAACTGAAAGGAGAAATCAAATGGATGTTATTGTAGCTCTTCGTATATCAGAAACAATGCTCCAGCCACCTATCAGATATTTTAGCTTCTACACATCAGCAGATATTGCATTAGCTGAAAATTGTAGTTTTGTGATATCGGGTTTAACAAATAAATTGCTATCTACATTTTGCTTTGCTTGATTAGCCGTCAGGGGGTCGTAAAACAATTTCAACTGTTGTGGTGGGCCATGGGGTAATAGGTTGAGGAACACAGCTCTAGAGCATTACAAGGTTGCCCAGATTCTATCAGTCAGAATAAGGAAATCTGGCTCACAGCAGCTACCTTGCAAGACAATGGGCAATCAGTGAGGACCCTCAAGAACTGTCCAATACGTGACCCAGACTAGAACTGAGACATTTCAAATGGTTTATTATTGAGGAAGCATAATGACTGATTGAATAAATCAGACAAACACTGAATAGACTTTTTTCTTCTTTTGTCCTACTGTTTATGCTGTAATATATGTGAGAGACAAAAATCAGGAAATTTTCAGGATATCAGGCGCCTCTTCTGGCAGTGGTGAGACATCACAAACCAGCTTGGTTCGGACGTGGTGAGACATCACAAATCAGCTTGGTTCAGACGTGGTGAAACATCACAAACCAGCTTGGTTCAGATGTGGTGAGACATCACAAACTAGCTTGGTTCGGACGTGGTGAGACATCACAAACTAGCTTGGTTCGGATGTGGTGAGACATCATAAACTAGCTTGGTTCAGACGTGGTGAGACATCACAAACTAGCTTGGTTCGGATGTGGTGAAACATCACAAACTAGCTTGGTTCAGAAGTGGTGAAACATCACAAACTAGCTTGGTTCGGATGTAGTGAGACATCACAAACTAGCTTGGTTCGGACGTGGTGAGACATCACAAACTAGCTTGGTTCAGACGTGGTAAAACATCACAAACTAGCTTGTTTCAGAGGTGGTGAAACATCACAAACTAGCTTGGTTCAGACGTGGTGAAACATCACAAACTAGCTTGGTTCAGACGTGGTGAGACATGATTTTATTGCAAAGACTTCAAGGAATATTGGGAGGTAGTAAAAGAAGAGGGAGGAGAAAGTGGGGGGGGGGGGGGCAAAGAAGAACCTGGAATTACAACATCAAGAAGTGGACAGGACTAAATTACTATAGATTTGTTCAGCAAGCAGAAGATACTGGGATAGACATTCTGTGTGTTTTTCGTTGGCACAGGAGCGGAGCAACTATGGGGTGACTCGTTTGCTATGAAGCTGAAACTAAGATTACCAAGAGACAGGTGAAGGTTTCATGTGGTAATGCTTCCACTGATACACCTCCATCACCCCTAAGGAGTCAAGAGTTACATGATGCAGTATGCACTACAGAGAGGAATCAGATGTAGTTTCCTGTCTTCTGCTGGTGGCACAGCATGTGTTAATGTCATATTGCAGTTCTCTTTCATTCCCTCCACCCATCTCTTTCTTGGTCGACCTCTTGCCTTGTAGCCTGCTGGTCTCATGTAGTATGCTTTAGCTGCTAGCTGATTTTGTTCTATTCTGACGAGTTGACCAAACCATTTGATTCTTCAATTTTCTATAAAATCATTTATTGGTACTGTGCTTCCCATTCACTGACCTTAGTTCATTGGTCACTGTTTTCCCCACCACATTTATTATAATCACATCTCACATATTGTAATGTAAACAGACAAACACCAATAAACATAAAAACTAACATTCACAGGATTTAAAAAAAAAATGTTTATTGTTTTCTTTATCATAAAATAAAATTACTGTTTTTAACACACAAAAAAGCACTTTAATGGTAATTTGCCAAAACAATAGTGAATAAACATCATAGTTTCTCAATTGTTAAACACAGAATGACAGAGTTGTTCACTCCTACTT